CAAAATGACCCAATTTCTTCCCAAGATGGGATGGAATCCCCGCAAGGGATTGGATTCCGCTTTAGAGTCATGCCAGGACAAACACCTGGCCATTTTTGGTCCTTTGGCCAAACTGTTTGACCTGACTGAACTAGCCAGAGCCGGAAACAGGCAGGTTGCCCCAGACGAAATCCGTGGATGGGTGCAGAGGGCGATCTGCATAGCAGGCAGTGTGAACACCTCCCTCTCTATAGAGCGGCGTAAAGCCATTCTCTTTAAAATTGAGCCTAAATTCACTAACCTCGCTCTCACTGAGGCTGGCAAAGACGCCCAGGGCCTGTTGTTTGGAGAATCATTTATAAAGGATCTGGGGCGCTTTGTGGGTGCTTTAACAGCCCTGGACAAGGCTCAATCCTCTATGAAGAGGGCAATTCAGGTACGGGTCTCTACCAGAGCCGGCAGATTCAGGGGCCGTCTGTCAGGCCGGTCTAATTACCACGGCCGTGGATCGGGACGAGGCTGCTGCTCGCATGGAGGATTTCCAGGGCCCCTAGGAAATCCTACCAGGAGACGAGACATCAGTCCCCTTTCTTCCCCTCTCGTGGAAGACCATGGCGCTCCAGAGGCTTCAGAGGGAACCCCGGTTCCAGACACCCTTACGGTAAGCTTCCATCTACCTCATGTTTTTTCCAATACCTGTGTAGAGGGCAGACTCTGTCATTTTTTCCAAGCCTTTTCAAACATCACTTCAGATACCTGGGTTCTGACCACAGTGAGGGGGTTTCACATAGAGTTGGTTGACACCCCGTGTCACATTCCTCTCCCTCACCCTATTGTACTTTCAGGGACAGACCGTGCCTTAATAGACGAGGAGCTGTCAGCGCTCCACAAGAAGTGGGCGATGGAAAGGGCCTCAAGGTCCCCCACAGGGGTTCTCAGCAATATCTTCCTTGTAGAAAAAAAAGGCGGGCAGATGCGCCCAGTTATCAACCTGCGGGCCCTGAATACTCTGGTGCGCTACCGCCACTTCAAGATGGAGGCCATTCATCTCCTGCGGGATTTACTCTTGCGGGGAGACTGGATGGCAAAATTAGACCTCAAGGACGCATACTTGACAGTCCCATTGACCGAAGCATCCAGGGACTTACTACGCTTTCTCTGGAAAGGCGACACTTGGCAGCTTTCGGACTCTTGTCAGCTCTGTGGTGCTTCACCAAATTGATGCGCCCTGCCATGGCTTGGTTGCACAGTCGAGGACTACGACTGATAGTCTACCTAGACTACATTCTCCTCATGGCACAGGACTGTTCGGTCCTCTTGAAACGCCTGGGTTTCCTCCTCAATTGGGAAAAATCCTGCCTGTCCCCTTCCCGACGCATGGAGTTCCTCGGGTTCACGGTAGACTCAGAAGCAGAATCTCTCAGCCTCCCTCCGGCCAAGAAACGAGACATCCGCAAGGAACTACGTCGCGCCCTAGCGTGCCCCCAGCTGTCGCTGCATCATCTGGCACAGATTATCGGCCTACTGGTCTCCTCAATCCAGGTGGTGTTTCCAGCCACTATCCATTATCATGCCCTCCAGCGTCTGAAGATAGCACATCTTCGCAATGGGGCATCCTATGCAGACATGATTTTCCTGGATCTGGAAACCCGAGACGAGCTGACCTGGTGGATCCACAATCTATCTGCTTTTAATGGCAAGGCCATCTTCGGTTCCCAACCGGAATTCACGGTGGATTCAGACGCAAGTCTCCATGGTTGGGGTGCCCACTGCAATGGTGGGACTACCGGGGGATGCTGGTCGGAAGACAAATCCCATCTCCACATCAATGCCCTGTAACTCCTGGCCAACTCCTTTGCAATCCGGAGCTTCGCGAACAGGACCGCCAATGCATGCATCCGACTGTGCATGGACAACATCTCCGCAGTTCGCTATGTCAATCACATGGGCGGCACGCATTAAGCTATTCTGGCCCGCTTGGCAAAGGACTTCTGGGCCTATTGCTTGACCAGGAATCTGATCATCCAGGCAGAATACCTCCCCGGTCTCCACAACACCCATGCGGATTGGAGTTCACGCTATCTGTCGGACAGCAACGATTGGAAATTGGATGTAGAGGTGTTCTCCACTATCTCGTCTCTCTGGGGACATTTTGCCATCGACCTCTTCGCTTCCCGGCTCAACACCCAACTACCTCGATTCTACAGCTGGCGCCTAGATCCAGCCGCGGAGGCAGTGGACGCCTTCCTGCAAGACTGGAACGACTCACCCCTTTATGCCTTCCCTCCATTTGCCATGATTCCTCGGGTTCTACTCCAAGTACGACGCCAGATGGCAGACTTGGTCCTGCTGACCCCATTCTGGGGGACCCAGTCATGGTTCCCACAGCTCCGGGAACTGGCGATAGATGTACCCAGACTTCTGCTATCCTACCAGGATCTTCTGCTGGACCCGTTGGGCCAACGACACCCCCTCCTGCTAGACGGCTCATTGCTGCTGCTCGCATGGAGGATTTCCGGGGCCCCTAGGAAATCCAAGGAGTTCTGGATGCAACACGACGCCTCCTGGCTGACGCATGGGCTCCCGGAACTAGACGATCATATGGGACTGCTTGGAGAGCTTGGACTGGCTGGCTTGGATGGCAATACTCCAATTCCTCACTTTGTTATTTGAGGCTGGTCGGGCATATAGCACGATTAAACCTGTATAGATCAGCCATCTCTTCGGCCCACCAAGGGTTCATGCCTGTCGCATCCCCCCAGGCCTCGATATTCGGCTACATGGGACATTTCCTGCGTCTTGTCACTGTTTACTTCCTGGCCTCCTAATTCGGACCTCACCCTGTGAAAGCTGTCACCCAAGTTGGTTTCCCTGTTCTGCCTCATTTCGTGCAAATGAGTCTCGGACGTACGGGCCTTGGACTATGATGCTAGGTCTTTCACTCCGGATGGAGTGACGTTTATCATCTCCAGACGCACTAAGACGACTATACGTTCGGTTTTGTATCCAAGTTTTCCAACTACCCAGGCGTTATGTCCAGTGACCTGTTTGAGGGAATATGAGCTAAGGACGAGTGCCCATCTTTGGGTCTCGTCACCTCAGCTCTTTCTCTCGATTCGTCAACCCTTCGCCCCGGTGTCCAGCACTACCTTGGCTCGTTGGGTGAAGTGGGTGTTGTCACTGGCTGGCGTGGATACATCGTGTGGTGAGACCTGGCAGTGAGGAGGCGGCAGGTGCAGGCCGCGAAGCAGGACCCAGGCGAGGTGGCTGCATGGTTGAGGGTCCGCCTCCCGGCGCACCACCGGAGCCTAGGAGGGGCTCATCCAGATGGGCAGTGGCCCAGCCATCAGGCGGTGCGGCCCCTGTACAAGGACCTCCATGAATGCAGGAGGGCCCCCTGGATCGCCACGTGGAGAGGGGCCACCAGCCTGGAGGACGGCCTCTGGCAGTGTGGGATGGCCAGACAGCAATGCTGATGTGGTGAAACCAACCTCACCACTGTACACTGGAGAAGCCTGGTTGCTTGCCTGCTGCCTTTGGACTATGGCTCCATGTTAAAAGACATCTTTTTACCCCGCCGAAAAGACTTATTCGTGCTTTTCTGCCGGGTGTTCGGTAGATTCAATCTACCGAACAACCGCACGAATGAATAGACCACCTGGGAGCTGGAGTGTGCCGGCAATTAACCTCCCTGAAGCTGCGGTTAACCGCAGCTTAATTGACGAATGCTGGGTGGCCGCCATTCGTATCACGAACACGAGGTCGCGGCCATTTTAAACATGCGAATGCACAGCGGTGTTCGACGCTTAATTCATGGAACTGAAATCGGATACAGTTTTGCGCGAACACCGCTGAAGCCGCCGACCTCCCTTCTTGTTCGGTGAAAGTGCACGAACGGCCCGATGTTCGGTAGTTTTGTTTGAGTATGTTGTACCCCAGATAGGAATTAAACTGTATTCGTGTGGTCTGAGCGCCATTCGCGTAATAATGTGTGCTCAGACCTGAGCTATCTGGGGGGATATGTAGAAGGTAATGTTTTATGTACTGAATGTAACTGTAGGTAATTTTATGTCTTTTACTGTTTGTTTTCTGCCATGTAGTTAATGGAGTTTTGCCTCTGTCTTTGGAGATAATTGAATTACTTCTCAATTATCTCCAGAGCAGAGAGGAGGGATTGTGATGCATTGTGGGATGGTTGAAATGTGTAAGTCTGTGATTGGTCCTTTTACCCTTTGTGTCCCAGTCTCCCATTTGGTCCCCTATGGGAGTGTCCACCAGGTGGGAGACCTGCATAAAAGCCGGGCAGTTAGCCCCAGTAAATCAGTTCCTGCTTAACCCTCAAAGTGAAGTGTCAGCTCATTATTGGGGGAGGATTTACTGTATGCTGTTAGAGACTGATTGCCAGGAGTGTAAGCCACTTGGGAGCTTTTCCTGTTCGTCTGCTAGCAGCTATTCGTGTGTCTCCAGTTCGGGAGTTGGTGAATTTGTGGGTTTGCAGTTCAGGAGATTGGCGCTTGCAGTAGGTGTCGGTGCAGCTGAAAAAGGGGAATATCGTCTAAACGTTTTTTAACCTCTTTTGGGCAAAACGGTCCGTTACAATTGGTGGCAAGCGGCGGGATCGTTCCCACAGACCAGAAGGACAACTACAAGACAACACCAGGGCTTGGATTACAAATAGAGGGATAGAGCTAGCTACCGTGCAGCGTCCCTATCTACTACAGCATGGAGCGAGCAAGACCCTGGATAGAATCCTGCGAAGGACACCTCAACCTGACACGTCCCTACGAGGGCGACGCTTACCGGGAGGAGGTAAAGAGGCGGTTGGTCTGGTATGGCCCAGACCCTTCGAACGAGGTGGTCTTCCAAGTAATGCGCCACTTGAATGCTGAGAACATTTGCGACAATGGTCTTTGAACAAAAACAGCGGCAGAGTGAGTTACAGGGAACCAAAGGTACCGTCCTTCCTCCCCAGCGGCAGAGTGAGTTACAGGGAGCCAAAGGTGTCGTCCTTCCTCCCCAGCGGCAGAGTGAGTTACAGGGAGCCAAAGGTGCCGTCCTTCCTCCCCAGCAGCCGAGTGAGTTACAGGGAGCCAAAGGTGTCGTCCCTCCTCCCCAGTGGCAGTGTGTATTACAGGGAGCTGAAGGTGTCGTCCTTCCTCCCCAGCGGCAGTGTGTGTCCCAGGGAGCTGAAGGTGCCGTCCTTCCTCCCCAGCGGCAGTGTGTGTCCCAGGGAGCTGAAGGTGTCGTCCTTCCTCCCCAGCGGCAGTGTGTGTCCCAGGGAGCAGAAGGTGCCGTCCTTCCTCCCCAGTGGCAGTGTGTGTCCCAGGGAGCTGAAGGTGTCGTCCTTCCTCCCCAGCGGCAGTGTGTGTCCCAGGAAGCTGAAGGTGTCATCCTTCCTCCCCAGCGGCAATGTGTGTCCCAGGGAGCCAAAGGTGTAGTCCTTCCTCCCCAGCAGCAGGGTGTCCTTCAGGGAGCAGAGAACGTCGGTCTCGCACCCCAGCAGCAGGACAAAATATTGAAAGTGGAGACGGTCGGTCCCCCTCTCCACCAGCAGAGAGAGTGTCAGGGAGAGGAGCCTGCTACCCCCTCTCCCCAGCAGCTGAAAGGATATATGGGAGAGATGCTGGTTACCCCCTCTCCCCAGTGGCAGCTTGACATACCCAGGGGAGACAGTAAGCCCCACGACCGTGCAGATGGGACCATGGTCTCTGCACTTACAGCACAGGGGGTAGGGACAGTCGATTCTACCCCCCAGCAACCGGGCTCTTTAGCCAAAGGGGAGACAGTCGGTCTCCCCCTCCGGCAGCAGAGCTGTGTATCCAAAGGGGAGACAGTCAGTTTCCCTCTCCAGCAATCAGGCTCCAACCAGACTACTCCCGTGGTAGTGCTGGCACCAGGACAGAGTACCGCTGGTCTCTGCCCACTCAGCAACCCATCCAGTCCGCTTACCAGTCACCCACACAGCCATGGTGAGGCGCCTGGACATGGACAATGCTCTCCTATACCCAGGTGTAGTAACCAGTTCTTGTGGGTGAGTTATATTACTGATTGTGTTTTGTGGGTGGGCTGCTGGACTAACAAGGGCACTGACCGGCATGAGGTCAGATACCCTGTTAGTCTGATTGGTAAAGGGGAGAAGTGTGGCGAAACCAACCTCGCCACTGTACACTGGAGAAGCCTGGTTGCTCGCCTGCTGCCTTTGGACTATGGCCCCATGTTAAAAGACATCTTTTTCCCTGCAGAAAAGACTTATTCATGCTTTTCTGCCGGGTGTTCGGTAGATTCAATCTACCGAACAACCGCACGAATGAATAGATCACCTGGGAGCTGGAGTGTGCCGGCAATTAACCTCCCTGAAGCTGCGGTTAACCGTAGCTTAATTGACGAATGCTAGGTGGCCGCCATTCGTATCACGAACACGAGGTCACGGCCATTTTAAACATGCGAATGCACAGCGGTGTTCAACGCTTAATTCATGGAACTGAAATCGGACACAGTTTTGCGCGAACACCGCTGAACCCGCGACCTCCCTTCTTGTTCAGTGAAAGTGCACGAACGGCCCGGTGTTCGGTAGTTTTGTTTGAGTGTGTTGTACCCCAGATAGGAATCCCATGGAGCCCATTCGCATGAAACTGACTGTGTAAAGAATTTGGCTCCATGGCGATTAAACTGTATTCATGTGGTCTGAGCACCATTCGCTTAATAATGTGCGCTCAGACCTGAGCTATCTGGGGATATGTAGAACGTATATGTTTTATGTACTGAATGTAACTGTAGGTAATTTTATGTCTTTTACTGTTTGTTTTCTGCCATGTGGTTAATGGAGTTTTGCCTCTGTCTTTGGAGATAATTGAATTACTTCTCAATTATCTCCAGAGCAGAGAGGAGGGATTGTGATGCATTGTGGGATGGTTGAAATGTGTAAGTCTGTGATTGGTCCTTTTACCCTTTGTGTCCCAGTCTCCCATTTGGTCCCCTAGGGGAGTGTCCACCAGGTGGGAGACCTGCATAAAAGCCGGGCAGTTAGCCCCAGTAAATGAGTTCCTGCTTAACCCTCAAAGTGAAGTGTCGTCTCATTATTGGGGGAGGATTTACTGTATGCTGTTAGAGACTGATTGCCAGGAGTGTAAGCCGCTTGAGAGCTTTTCCTGTTCGTCTGCTAGCAGCTATTCGTGTGTCTCCAGTTCGGGAGTTGGTGAATTCGTGGCTTTGCAGTTCAGGAGATTGGCGCTTGCAGTAGCTGTCGGTGCAGCTTAAAAAGGGGAATATCGCCTAAACGTTTTTTAACCTCTTTTGGGCAAAACGGTCCATTACAGCTGGCGCAAGGACGACCCGGAGGCGGCCTACCTGCAGGCAGGCAAGTGATGGGGCAGGGGGTCTCTCTGGGGGCCCCCTTGGTGTGTCTGGGGGCCTCCTTCTGCTGGGTTGGGAGTTGGTGCAGTGGTAGTGGGGCAGCAGGCGGTAGTGAGCGGGTGTAGTGGGGCGCGGGAGCCATCTGGGGGGGGAGCAGAGTCTGCCAAGGTTCCAGTAGTGAGGATGGCGGGGGCGCTGCCGGGGCACCCTCAGAGAGATGGGGGGTGGGGGTGCCTGCAGGGGGGACCACCGCCGGGCGGTATGGGGTCTGAGGGCGGGCGTACTATGGCCCAGGGTAGGGCCCAGATGAGAGAGTGAGGAGCCCGGTGGGGGGGCAGGTAGAACCTGTGGGTTGTACTTTGGCTGGTGGGGGTCCTTCTCCCAGGTCTCAGCGCCACAGGAGGCGCCAATCCTGCAGCAGGTCCTTCAGGGCTGAGTCCCGTAGGGGGTCGAGGAGTCACCTGGGCTGTCATCATCTGCTGGGGTGTTACTTTGACTGGGGTATTTTGTCATCTTGTGTCTCCCTATGTGCTGTTCGATTTCTTGCTGTTACTTTGAGACATTCAGTTCCTTTTTAGAATGAGTGGTTAGGATGGAAGCGGGGAGTAAGTCAGTGGTGCACTACTTGGATGATTTTTTTGTGTGTGGGACTGGCGAACTCATAGGCATATCTTGACCTACTACGTACAATCGAATGGGTGGTGGGGCAGTTCGGAGTGCCGCTTGCGGCGGGCAAGATGGAGGGCCCGACGGAGTGTCTCAGTGTTCTGGGTCTCGAAATTGATTTGTGCGAGGGGACTGTCGGCTGCCCCAGGATAATCTAGTTGGGCTGCGGGGAGTCGTTGCAGAGGTGCTACGGGCGCGGAAGGTGACCCATCGGCAACTGCAATCACTCCAAGGAAAACTCAACTTTACCTGCAGGGTGATCCCGACTTGTCTGCAGCAACTGCAGGGGTGTGGTCACAGCTAAATTTCATCAGGGTGACGGCGCTTATGCGGGTCGATCCGGTGGTGTGGGACGTGTTTTTGCGGTACGGTGTTCTTTCGAAAGGCGGGGGTCTCGGTGGAAGAGCTCAAGCTCTTCACGGATGCTTCCAGTGTGTGCTTTGGGGCTTATTTTGGTGCACGGAATGGTGGCCGGCGGAGTAGGGGGGGAGAGCCCCCTCATCCGTAACCTGGCATTCCTGGAGTTGTTCCCTTTGATAGTGGCACTGGCGCTATAGGGTGACAAACTGCCGAACTGTAAAGTAGTTTTCTTCTCGGATAACATGGCGGTGGCGCACGCAGTTAACAATCTGTCAATCTGTCGTCCTCGAAGCCGGTGGTGCATTTCACCGGCGGTGGTGGATAGGAATATGGCAGCATACAGGAAGGGAGGCTCGTGGTACACCTGGCCAGTTCCAAGACCGATGTCAGGAGCAGAGGTAGGGATGTAACACTAGGACTCAGCGCTATGTCCAGTAGCCGCGGTGTTGCAATACATGGCTATGAGGCCCGTGGTTGAGGGGTTGTTACTGGTGCATGCTTGATGATTTCTCCCTCTCTCGGTGCAGTGTTTCGCATGGAAGCGGGTGGAGGAAGGCCGGACTTCCTAGATCTCCACTCAGGGGGGAACGATTTGGGGCTGATACCGCAGCATCAGCAGTGGGGTGGGACCTCCTGAATCTGGGGAGGCAGGAAGGGCTGCAGAAAGCACTGTTTCTTCAGGGTGGGGGTGCTCAGACGGCTTAAGGGTTCAAGGTCTGAGCTCATGGCTGGATAGGGAGCTCAAGGAGAGGAAATAGGGTCCCCATTAGGAAGGTTATGTTAATGGTTATTGGTATGTTTGGTAGGTTTCGAGTCCTGTCGGTGGCTCAGAACCTGTGGGTTAGGGGTATCCGGTATACCCCTATCATGGTTAATTTAGAATAAATGGTTGGCACTTTAAGTGATGTTTATGTTGGTATAATGTTATATATATGTTATTTATAGTGGGGTCATTGCCTGGTATACCTAACGGAAGGTTACGGAAGCGAAAGCCGGGCATAGGACAATGACCCATAAGTTTTATGTTAAGTTATTATTATTTATATATTTAATAAAGCTGTGGACAACTTTACCCATATACCCTAGTGTCTGTGTCCATTGGGAAAGGTATGTGGGGGGTCGGGGTTGTTCAAGGTTCCAGATGCCCATATGGTGACGATACACAGGTCAAGCTTTATGGTCACAACTATAAGCGCTATATTTGGAGAGAGGTCAACAAGGCCTGTAGTAAAAAGAATACCATCCCCTTTATGAAGCTCTAAAGGCACAGGTAATCTTGTGAAAATTGATGGCAAGATGAATGCAGCATATTATCAGAAAATACTGGCAGACAATTTGCATTCTTCTGCACAAAGGCTGCGCATGGGACGCTTTTGGACTTTCTAGCATGACAATGACCCTAAGTACAAGGCAAAGTTGACCCTCCAGTGGTTACAGAAGAAAAAGGTGAAGGTTCTTGAGTGGCCAGCACAGCCTTTAATATCATCGAGCCACTCTGGGGAGATTTCAAACGTGCGGTTCATGCAAGATGACCAAAAACTTTGCATGACCTGGAGACATTTTGCCAAGATGAACGGGCAACTATACCACCTGCAAGAATTAGGGGCCTCATGGACAATTATTACAAAAGACTGCACACTGTCACTGATGCTAAAGGGGGAAATACACAGTATTAAGAACTAAGGTTTTGCAGACTTTTGAACAGGGATCATTTCAATTTTTCTTTGTTGTCATGTTTTGTTTTAAGGGAACACTATAGTCACCAGAACAACTACAGCTTAATGTAGTTGTTCTGGTGAGTATAAAGCTCCCTTCAGGCATTTTCATGTAAACACTGCCTTTTCAGAGAGGCAGTGTCCCCTACGGACACCTCCAAGTGGCCACTCCTTAGATGGCCACTGGAGGGGCTTCCTGGCTCAGGGCTGCACAGTAAGCAGCCCTGCCGTTCAGCGTCCACACGCTCTGCGTGGGGATGATGAATTTTCCTCATAGAGAGGCATTGATTCAATGCATCTCTATGATGAGGTCCTGATTGGCCAAAACTGCATTTGGCCCCTCCCCGTGCCGATTTTGGCTACAAATCGGCCATTTTGATTATGTCACAAAGGGGGCGGAGCCAGCACGGGTGTCGCCAGCACCGATGGACCTGCGCGGCGCTGGAAATAAGGTGAGTTTTAAACATTTATAGTGGGGCTAGCGAGTGAGTTTAGCACTATAGGGTCAGGAATACATGTTTGTGTTCCTGACCCTATAGTGATCCTTTAACCTACAGTTGAATATGAATCCCATAAGAACTAAAAGAAATATGTTTTGCCTGTTTACGCATGTTTTCTTTAAAAATGGTACATATATTTCCAATTCTCCAAGGGTATGTAAACACAGTTCTAGCAAAAATAAAATAAATTAATGTTTTCAAATAAAGGTACAGTCCAAATAAGTTCTTATACCTCCAAATTAAATTATAGCAGTATGTTACACAAATGCATGAACAAAATAAAAAATCAAGGATAAAGTAGAATTACTCACAAAGCTAATATAACAGCATGCATATCAAGCAATACAGATCCCTTGTAGTCAGGGTATTTGCCTCAGTCTCACCAGTTGCCGGCCAAGCAGTGAAGTAGTAAGCCGTTTCACTTGCTGCTAATCAGGGGTCAAGTCCTGGGGAAAAAAGTGTGGGAACTCACCCAAGATTCCCCCCCCCCCCCCCCTTAAAAAATAAAATAAAATACACTCCTATGCATATAGTGCAGTGCAGGGTGTGTATAATGAATGTAGTGTGTTTGTAGTGAATGCAGAGTATGAATAATAAATGTAGTGTGTTTGTAGTGAGTGCAGTGTGAATAATAATTGTAGTGTGTTTGTAGTGAGTGCAGAGTGTATATATGAATGTAAGTGAGTGCAGTGTGTGTATAATGAATGCAGTGTGTTTGTAGTGAGTGCAGAGTGTATAATGAATGTGTGTTTGTAGTGAGTGCAGAGTGTGTATTGTAGTGAGTGCAGAGTGTGTATAATGAATGTAGTGTGTTTGTAGTGAGTGCAGTGTGTAATATAAATGTAGTGTGTTTGTAGTGAATGCAGTGTGTATAGTGAATGTAGTGTTTTTGTAGTGAGTGCAGAGTGTGTATAATGAATGCAGAGTGTGTATAGTGAATGTAGTGTGTTTGTAGTGAGTGCAGAGTGTGTATAATGAATGTAGTGTGTTTGTAGTAAGTGCAAATTGTGTATAATGAATTTAGTGTATTTGTAGTGAATGCAGAGTGTGCATAGTGAATGTAGTGTGTTGTGAGTGCAGAATGTGCATAATAAATGCAGAGTGTGTATAGTGAATGCAGAGGGTGTATAGTGAATGTAGTGTGTTTGTAGTGAGTGAAGAGTGTGTATAATGAATGCAGTGTGTGCGTGTGTTGGATGATGTGTGTGTGCTGGATGGTGTGTGTGTGTGTGCTGGATGTGTCTGGGGTGCTGGATGATGTGTGTGTCTTGAGTGCTGGATGGTGTGTGTGTGTGGGTGCTGGATGGTGTGGGGTGTGCTGGATGAGTGTGTGTGTGTGTGTGCTGGATGGTGTGTGTGGGGTGTGGATGGTGTGTGTGTGGGGTGCTGGATGAGTGGACACGTGAGGTTGCTGGATGATGTGTGAGTGTTGGATGATGTGTGTGTGCTGGATGATGGGTGTGTGAGTGCTGGATGATTGTGTGTGTGTGCTGGATGATGGGTGTGTGAGTGCTGGATGATGGGTGTGTGAGTGCTGGATGATGGGTGTGTGTGCTGGATGATGGGTGTGTGTGTGCTGGATGATGGGTGTGTGGGTGCTGGATGATGGGTGTGTGTGTGTGCTGGATGATGGGTGTGTGTGTGCTGGATGATGGGTGTGTGTGTGCTGGATGATGTGTGTGTGCTGGATGATGTGTGTGTGAGTGCTGGATGATGGGTGTGTGTGTGTGCTGGATGATGGGTGTGTGAGTGCTGGATGATGGGTGTGTGTGTGAGTGCTGGATGATGTGTGTGTGTGTGAGTGCTGGATGATGTGTGTGTGAATGCTGACTGATGTGTGTGTGTGTGCTGGATGATGTGTGTTTGAGTGAGTGCTGGATGATGGGTGTGTGAGTGCTGGATGATGTGTGTGTGTGCTGGATGATGGGTGTGTGAGTGCTGGATGATGGGTGTGTGAGTGCTGGATGATGGTTGTGTGAGTGCTGGATGATGGGTGTGTGAGTGCTGGATGATGGGTGTGTGAGGTGCTGGATGATGGGTGTGTGAGTGCTGGATGATGGGTGTGTGAGTGCTGGATGATGTAGTATTGTGAGGAGTGCTGGATGATGGGTGGGGAGGCATTTTTACTTACTTTATGTGTCTATATTTTTTTTATTTATTCCCCCCTCCTGCTTCTTGCGTGTCAGGGGAAGTCTCTAATTTACAGGTCCGATTACTGGAGGCCAGCACAAAAAAAGAAAAAAGCTTTTTGCACACACACACTTTTGCCACACACACACACACACACCTTGCTATAAAAGGGGCCATCACACGCTGTGCTCCCTCTCCAGCTCTAACTCCCGCGAGACTCGCCTGTGCGGAGCGTTGCCATGGTAACAGCCGCGGGTCTCGCGAGAGTTATAGCTGGAGAAGGAACACAGCGTGTGCTGGCCCCTCAGTGCAGGTAGCAGGGCCGGTCCTGCAGGACAGGTAACGGGAACGGCGTTCCTGCTTTGGAAAAAGTGCAGGAACGCCGTTCCCATGCGTTCCTGCAGGACTCGAGCCCTGCTGCTAATCCTTTCGACTCAAAGTCTCGGTGTTCACAGAGTGCTATCCTGCGATTGGAACCAAATTCCTGGTGTGTTTCAGAAAATTGCATTCCAATGCACTTCCCGTTCCTGTCTCATCCTCCTTACGTGTTTAGAAAATCTGAAGGTTCACTTCATCACCGGGACTTTGAACTGAAAGGATTAGCAGTGAGTGGAACGGTTTACTACTCCACTGCTTTGATTTGAAACACTGGCATACATACCGCGGTCGCAGGGGTCGCAGGGGTCGCAGCTGCGACCGGGTATGTACGCCAGTTTGCCAGCTGCTTCTTCTGGGGGGCCCAGGAGCTGGCCACCTCAGGGCCCCCCGAGGCTGGCAGTGGTGTCACTGGGCGAGCGGGCGAGGGAGCATTCTCCCCTGAGCTCTCTCTGCCCAGCTCCCTCGCGGGCACTGCACTGATGCCGGAGCCAGAATATAATGTCATTCCGGCTCTGGCATCAATAAGTGGTGCGAGGGAGCTGGGCAGAGAGCGCTCAGGGGAGAATGCTCCCTCGCGCGCATGCCGTAACCGGCTGCCCAGCAGCACCACTGGACCCCAGGGAATCCCCTCAGCACTCCCAAAGGTAGGAAGGCAAATTTTCTATCCGTGAGTTTGTGTAACATACTGGTAGAATTTAATTTGGAGTTATAAGGACTTGTTTAGACTGTAATACAAAATAGACAAATAGGCCCAAAAGGGCATATGAGTCCAACAGGATAGTCTCTCCAAAATAGATTTAAAAAAAATTGAAAAATAATAATCTTTATTAAATCTCCAAATACATGAATCAAAAGAGCACGATAAAAAGCCATAAGGCTGTGGTGAGTGATTGGGTCAGGCAACTCAAGCCTAGAAAGGTACAATAGCCCCTGTGAATAAAGGTAGCCTAAAGTGTATTTAACAGATGGACATACTAAACATTTCTCAGACAGAGCAATTCACCAGGGACTTAAACAAGGATTATCCTTGATACCACAAAGAGCTGTTCAAAAGGTCTTAATAGAATTTATTAATTAAGCTAGAAAGCAGAGATCGCTCATCTGGTGATATACCAGATGGAAATGGCAATATATAGCAAAAAAACACATATCTAACAGATATGTCTATATTTGGCTAAGCAGATATAGTACCAATTCACAGTAAAAAAAAAAGTGACAGGCTCTAAATGGTAGAAAAATAGATACGAGGTAAAAAAAGTGGTTTAGTAGATGTGCCCCAGTCTAAATAAATGCACTGCACTCTTAACTAGTTTGAGCAGAGTAAGCAATAGTAAGCTGTCATTCGTCTCCCCATAAATCTTTCTACATCAACCTAAAAACCTCCCCCATTAGTGACCGAGTAAAAATGAATCAAACAGTGCTCAAATCATATGTAGAAAAAACATGTGGAAGTGAGCCAGTAGCCCAGTGTGTGTTTCGGCAACAAAGTAGCACCTTTGTCTGGGGCAACAAACTGAATGGCCATACTGCCACAATTTAAATAGGCTAAACCCACGAATTTCTCAAAATGTTTCCCAATCACGGCATAGATGGGAGAGAATAGTTTGCCAAGTAGCTCACGAATGCTACTCGGGCAGATCACCATCATATAATTAGTAAAAGCACATCATGTAAAAATATTGAATGTATACTAAGAATGATATCTATCACTAAACAGCTACTAAAAAAAAACCTGTACATACTCAATTTTGAATACGTGGGTTGTCTAATTTTGCAAATAGTGTGCCATGATTAGGGTACTTTTTTTTTATTCCTGGGCTGCCAGCAAACCAATCTGGCAAATTTCAATGGATAATAACTAAAAAAATTAGCAATCTCTGTATTTGACTCTGTAACTTTACAAAACACCATGAAATGTGTACATGAGGGCAGTGGCGGATCTGGGGGAGGAGGGGGCAACAGGGCAATTTCCCCCTCCCCGAGAAAACTGAGGGTCTCCCTCTCCCCTGCTAGCACATGCAGGCACCAGCCCTGCAATGTGCCATCACGGACCGGAGGGGAGACCAGAGATCTGCCTCCCCGGTCCGCAGGCACCATGCTGGCAGCCGGCTGGGGAGGGAGAGAAGACCCGGGAGCTCAGCCTGGAACTCCTCTGGGTCCTTCTCCCGCGAGCACGGAGCGTTGCCGCGGTTATCACGGAAACGCTTCGAATCTCGCAAGAGTGAACTCTAGCCTTGGAGCTGCAGGCTAGAGTTCACTCTTACCACTGGGACCACTAGGACATCCCCACCGGACCACCAGGGATTGAGAAACGTACCCCTTCCTCCCAGGAAAGGTAAGAAGGGAGGGGGGGACATAATGTATATTTGTTTAAATACATTTAAAAAAACCCAACACATATGAAGGGTAGGGGGGCTTTTTTTATGTTTTTTTTTGTTTTTTAAATTAGTGTGTGTGTGTCTGTGATAAGAAGGGTAGGGGGGCTACCCTTTAGGTTTTCAACAAGATTTCAGTTGAGAATGATTTATTTTAAGAAATGTGTACTATAGAGAGATTATTTCAAAAATTGACTCATGTCGTGATTAATTCTAACTAGCGGGTCAACAAGCCTGTGACCGTGAATTGCATGCATGTTGTTTGGAGCAAGGGGTTGATTGCTCTAGCGCAGGCTCTACGTAGGACCCTATTGGGATAGCCCTTATCCTTAAAAGCTCGCCTGAGATCCCAGGCTTTGATTTTAAAATCATCTGTAGAAGAGCAGTTACGCCTCAGTCTTAAGTACTGGCCTATTGGTATGCCCGCCTTAAGGGGCTGGGGATGATGACTATGCCAGTTTAAAAGACTATTAGTGGCAGTTTGTTTCTTGAAAAGAGTAGTTTAGACTCCTCCTCCAGATTGTATTGTTATGGTTATATCTAGGAAATTGACTTGTTTGCCACCAATCTCACTAGTGAATCTAAGGTTGAGGTCATTCATATTGAGAAGACTTACAAAGTCTCCAAAGTCTTTATTGCTCCCTGTCCATACAATTAGTACATCGTCTATGTACCGTTTCCAACATGACATCATCCCTGTATAGTGACTCAGGTGTGGGGCTGATACAGGGAACCTCAAAAGTTTATTGCTCCTGACGACGGCGTGCTGAAACGCCGAAACGCGCATCGATCTTACTTTATCCATTTATTTAATTCACTTTTGGTATCACTTATGGATTGGTTCAATTGATCTTTTTAGCTACTAGGACAGGTAGGGACTTAGGTTCGGGTAGGCACTAGTGGCTTTCCACAGTGCCGAGGTAATCAGGGACAGTTGACTATTTACAGTGGTTACTGTCTGGGTACAGCATATAGCTTTTGGGTGTTTATTTCTCCCTATAGAGGCATTTTTAACCTCTTCCAGCCTAGTCTGGTGTTACCTTACCTCCATCTACCTGGGTGTTCCACCTATGAGGCTTAGAGTGTATGTAGCCTAGACCTGCATTTAGAGTACTTGCCAGGCAGTTCTTTTTCAAGCTGGCAGTTGATCTCTGCGTCTGCCTTTGGATGGTCCCTTATTATTATTTTTCCTGTCCTATTTTATTTTGCTTTCCCTTAGGATTATTAAAGGTAGGGACCCCTTCCCCCATTACTCTCCTGCTCAGGACTTTTCTAGTCCCATTTCTTGCTTTTCTTTTACTGTTATTTTCGTGGGTTATTCCCCATTTAGGGAGAGTAATTTTAGGGCTCTCTGGGCACTGGTTCACTGGTCAACGTTGTGACCTCTGAATCAGAGCCTTTATTGTTCAAAATACAGATACACCCAATGACAACATACAGATACACAGATGTATACTGACATACACACTTAGACACACACAGAAACACATACACTGATAGGCATGCTGACACATACAGGCACACTGACAGACATACTGATACACACAGACTCACACACTCACAGACATACTGATACACACACTGACAGACATACTGATACACACATACACTGACACACACTTAGACACATGCACTCACACTGATAGATATACAGAAAGACAGCATCCATGTTAACCACAAGTGCCCTACAAATTAAACACTAATTGGATGAGAAGTAACAAGTATATTTACTGGAATCTTCCCATGAAAGCAGGTTCTACAGTGGCAAACAGGGGGCTCAAGTGACAGCATGTAGGTTTCCTGACAGATCACGGCGACCCCTGGGTACCATTTACTGGCACTCTCCCTCCAACATTCTCAGGGCAATAGCCTGCATTCAACATGGTGGGATATGTCCTTGTTACGAGGGCCTTTCTT